CCGAGGTGAGCACCATCAGTCTGGGACGCGCTGCACCGGATTTCTGCACACCGTCATTCCTTTCGAGGGTGTCGCCAACTTTCTTGTAAGTCCATGACTTTTTCGGTTTCCCCTCATGCACCTCCATTCCCATCCCCTTTTTCTTTTTTTTGCTGTCAGGAAGTTCCACAACATGGCTCCACCTCGCATTGTACACAGACTCGTAGTACCCCTCCAGTTTCTCCGATGCGCCCGTCGTCGTTGGGTTCCTCACCTCCTCAAGGGCTGCATCCAAAAAACTTCTAGTGATTTCATGAACACTTGCTTTTATCTCTGCAGTAGCTAATGACCACCCAAATAGAGTGCTTAAATGATTATAATGGAGCTTTATTAAATCTTCTTCCATATCTATTTCCTCCCGTAAAGCCCTCACGGCCCTCAAATAAGCATCTGATGCCTGTATTTCTTTCAATGCTCCTTTATCACGGATATATTTCTTGGGATCCTTGAAAAACTCCTTCAGCAAAACACTCCGATTTTTGTCCACAACGCCCCTGCCATCCAGTTCCTTCGTAAGAAAATCGTTCAGCTTCATTTCATTGACGCGAACTCTTCCTTTAAACAGTACGTCTTCGATATTAGTGGAAATGGTAAATTTCATTTCTTGCGCTCGTCTTAACCTTTCCTCTGCCTCACGCCTTTCTGCTGTCTGTACCTGAGTGAGTACTCTGTTTAGTTTTCCCCTTGCAAGAGAAGTGATCGTGTCCTTTACTTCATAGTCTCTCCATTGTTCAATCGAAAACACACTCTCGTGATGAAGCTTATTAATATCCTCCAATAGAATTTTCCTTTCCTTCAGCTCTTGGTACTCTGTTAAATTAAAAATAATTCTAAGAAGCCGCTGGTTTTGTACGTAAGCATCCGGCTCCTGAACAAACACCTGCATCGTCACGTTTTGGTCTTCATCAACGGTCGCCCTGCCGCCAACATAATTCCGAAGGAAATCATTCAGCTTCATGTCGGTGCTGAGAGTTTCTCCCTCCAGCAGAATGTCCTCTACGCTGCTGCTCATGGTCCACTTTGGTTGCTGCGCCTCCACTCCTCTGCGAGTTGCAGCGTCGGAACCATCGCCGGGGATGCCGCTTCGAGGCGCCATCACAACACCCGTGTGGTGAAGCATCCCACTCGCACCACCCAACTGCAGCCAGCAGGTGCCGCTGGCCCCAAAGGACACTCGCGGCTGTTTCGTCCCGCAGTCCCAATGGCGTTGGGCGCGGCACTCGCATGGCGGGGTGGTCGGTACGCCATGCAGCCGCACTGCAACGCCTGTCGGTGAAACAGTCAAGGCCCACCGCCTCCGCAGCAACGCAACGTGCAATCGACCACAACACCGCCACATTATCGTCCTTTTCTATTTTATTTTGTTTTATTCACGTTGTCGGTCTGTCTGCCCTATCACTAACACTAGTAATGAGTGTGCACCTTTGCAGAGGGTAAAGTAAAAAGAACAAAGAGAAAAGGAGGCACGATCCCACCGTCCCGATGCAACTCAGCACTCTCCTCCACCCACCACCATTGCCGCACAGGATACCGCAGTCACATCGCAGAGTCAACACCACAATGTGCACCACACCATCGTGCAGTGAACAATGGGCGAGACGTAGCCAGGCATCGCCCCGCTACATTTTACCACCACTCAAATCTTGCCTGCCCACACAAAAAGTGGCAAACGCAATCAGAGTGCACACAAACCCAATCAACACCCTCACTCGCTGAAGCACATTATTCGCATGGAGTGACAACATTTGAGGACACACCAGCAGTAGCTGGCTGCATGGAGTTTCTCTGCCAGTCCTGCAAAGGGACGCAACAACTCTGCGGAGTCAAAGTGACAGCCCCTCGGTGTTGCCCGCAGTTCACACGGCAGAAAAGAATTCCACGCACGCATAGTTCCGGATCCCTCGCTGTTTGAGTGCACATTAACAGAACGTAAGAAAATACCTGCGCACAAGAGGACGTTTAAATAAGTAAACTCTTCAGCCTGTTTCGTTTGACGGCGTCGGCGAGCAATCCCAAACAATCCAATCAAAGTGACACTCCGGACAGAATGGCTTCAGTTAATAAATAAAAATAATTGCGTCAATGCAAAAAAGCAACGGAAAGCTGGCGCATGAGATTGACAGTGACAACTGAGGTGCCGAGGAGCACTTCAGCGTACAACTGGTCGTCAGGCAGAGAGGACAAATAAAACAAAAGGGCAGCAAACCCTCTCGTTCAATGTTTTCTAACTGCAACAAGAGAAAACAGAAACTAAAAGGCACACAAAAAAAAAAAAGGTGTGTAGACAGTTTCCTTCTCATCGTAACCCCCATTTATCTCAAAGCTGGAGGTTGTCGAAGTGCAAGACATTATTCAAAACTGAGGAAAAAATTACATCTGAGACGTTTGCGTGATTAGTATCCGGAAATATTCTTGACGACAGTGAGGGAAACGCAGACGCCTTAGTTCCCCTCACCTTTGGCCTGACAAAAAAAAAAAATCCCACAAACATGCATTTGTATAGTTGTAGTAAAGCTTTACCTTAACAAATCAACAAAAGTATTAAAAAAGGGAATAATAAGCAGGAAAAATCCAGACGATTGCAAGGGCAAGGCATCTTCGCATTGGAATTATTGTACATCCTAAAGAAGAGCACTTGACAAGATAAAGACCATAAAATCATTCTGCGACCACACAGACAAACACACACTCACACACAATCATATCCCTCTCCCCCTGTTCAGTTTTATCACACCACACACAAATAGGCCCAAAACACTCCATCACCCAAGAAATGAATGCAGAAACAAATAAAAATATAAAATTGGTAATAAATAATAAATTAAAAAAATTACTGCCTCCCACCGCAACAGTTTTACTCACAAAAATTAGTCAATGCACAACTGCACATCAAGTTTCCGTCCCCATAGCTTCCATCGATGCGGCCAACTGAAGGCCAAAACTTTTTGGTGTGTGAATGGCTCGAAGGGAATGCAGCAGTTTTCCGGGTGTAATGGTCTGTCCCAATCATCTGATGTGACACACTTTGCCGTGTGCGGGGCATTCTTAAGAACGTTGTTCGTTGTGCTCTCTTCACCCTCCTCTATGGATGCAATTTCGGTACGAATGGAAATCAGTGCATCGGCCAAACGATCCAACTCCCGCTTTGACTCTGACTCTGTGGGTTCAATCATGAGTGTTCCCGCAACAGGAAATGCCAGGGTAGGTGAGTGAAGGCCATAATCCACAAGTCGTTTCGCCACATCTTCTGCTTCAATTTGTGCTGTTTTTTTTAATGGTCTTAAATCTATGATAAACTCGTGAGCGCAGAAATCGTTTTCCCCTAGAAAGAGAACTGGGCAGTGGCCGTCAAGACGCTTCTTTAAATAGTTGGCATTTAAAATCGCATACTCCGTGCATGTCTTGAGACCCCGTGAACCAAGCATCAACATTAATAAATAAGAAACTGGAAGAATAGACGCCGATCCGTATGCTGCTTGAGAGACTTGACCAAAAGGCTGGGAACCACCAACATTTTGAATAAAAACAGAATCTGGCAAGAATGAAGCCAGGTGCTGACGAACAGCAATAGGACCCATGCCTGGACCACCACCACCATGAGGAATTGAAAACGTTTTGTGAAGATTAATCTGGCACACATCGCCCCCAATACATCCAGGTGCTGTATAACCCACCATGGCATTCATGTTTGCACCATCAATATAACATTGCCCTCCATGGTAGTGCACCATCGAAGTAATGGCCAAGATTTACTTGTCAAACAAACCATAAGTACTCGGATACGTTATCATAATGCACAAGAGATTCTTTGTATGCTTTTGGCAAGAATTTTCTAAATCCTTCATGTCAATCCTTCCATCCGCCAAACACTTTATCTTTACAATCACCGTCCCTGCCAAGAGGGCCGAAGCAAAATTTGTGCCATGAGCACTTTCCGGAATCAAGCAAACATTGCGATGGCTCTCCTTTTTTGAATTATGATACGAGCGGACCACACGAAGAGCAGCATATTCACCCTGAGCACCACTATTTGGCTGAAGCGATACGGCATCTAAAGCGGTAATATCCCTTATTTTCTGCTCCAGATCCAAACACAACGCATCATGTCCTCGCGTTTGCTCCTTCGGTGCAAGAGGGTGAAGGTTGGTGAATTCTGACCACGACAAGGACAACATGGCGGCAGCTGGATTAAGTTTCACGGCACAAGAACCCAAGGGCACACAACCATGCATGAGACCATAAACTTTTCTATGAAGACGGTGAATGTACCGCATAAGCTCACTCTCACTTTTGTACTTTTGAAAGATTGAACGCCCAAGGAAGACAGATTTTCGTAACATTTGCAAAGGCATTGCTCTCTTTTGTTCTGCGAGTTTTGAAAGGACACCTATCACAGAAAGTTTTAGCCCTGCTGCCTCCAAGAGAGACACTACATGGCCCTCGGTAGTGGCCTCATCCACCGATATGGAGACGGTGCCATGACTATAATCAACAAAAATATTAATGTCTTTTTCCACGCAGCATGTCACGTAGTCTTCAGGCGTTATACCTTTTAAATTTACGGTGATGGTATCGAAAAATGTACCATTGACCACTGTATGCCCTACAGACTCTAAACCAACAGAAAGTATTTTGGCTTTTTTGTGCATTTCGCTCGCAATTTCCTTCAAACCCTCAGAACCGTGATAAATGGCATAAAATGCCGCAACATTTGCTAGTAGCGCTTGTGAAGTACAAATATTGGATGTGGCGCGTTCCTTCTTAATATGTTGCTCCCGCGTCTGAAGCGCCATGCGTATGGCCGGACAACCCGTCGAGTCTTTACTTTTATACCAATGACGCGACCCGGAATCAATCGCTTAAATTCCTCATTGACAGCAAAAAATGCGGCGTGAGGCCCCCAAACCCTAGTGGGACACCAAAACGTTGGGCAGATCCCAAAACAACATCGGCTCCCATTTCTCCCGGAGGTTTGAGAAGAACAGAAGCCATCAAATCAGTCCCACAACAACTGACGACACCATGTTGTTTTGCCTTCTCAAACAGTGTCGTAAAATCATGAAGCATCCCCATGGCATCTGGAGTTTGTACCAAAATTCCACAGAGTGAGGAATCGCTCCAATCAATCAAATTTGGATCACCAACAACGACCTTTATTTTAAGGGGCTCAGCTCTCGTTTTCACCATCTCTACGCAAGATGGGAAGACATCCCTCAATAATAAAAAAAGGTCATACGCTCCTTTCGACCATGATGAAAGGCAAGGTACATTGCCTCAGCACATGCAGTAGCTTGATCAAGAAGAGATGCATTTGCCAAATCCATAGCTGTCAAGTCTATAATCATGGACTGAAATTCAACAGGGACTCTAGACGGCCTTGAGATATTTCAGCCTGGAAAGGAGTGTATGGGGTGTGCCATGCAGGATTCTCGACAACGTTACGAAGTATTACAGGTGGTGTGCCCTGGCTCATCGTATCCTTGCCCAATCATGCTCTTTAATACCTTATTCCGTGAACCCAGTGAATGGAGAAGCGAAAGGGCATCCTGCTCGCTCATCGCCGGAGCCTCTTTTAAAGGACTTCGCAAAATATTCTCCGGGATCACAGCAGTCATGAGGTCCGACAGACTTTCTTTGCCAATTATTTGAAGCATAGAAATTGATTCTGCCGCTGATGGTCCAGTATGGCGATTGACGTCACTGTTTGTAGCAGTCCATCGTACAAACGCCAGTGGCAACGTGGAGAAATGATGGAAGCAACGATACATTATTATGTTGGATATGTGCTCGTCACCCTCTTTCTCTCTCTCTCGCGCACGCGTTAGTTTTCTTTTACTTTGGACAAAAAATTGGGCTTCACAGTTAAAAATCCACAAGAACAAATACAAAATATAATTTAAAAATAAAAATAAATTTAAACAATAATCAAAATAATAATAATAACCCATTAAAATAACAACAACAACAACAACCAAAAAGGATTGTCAAGGAAAATAAGCACGCATTTATATGAGCAATTCCAATTTTCATCCCCGCACACCACATATAGCCCCCGCGTCCCTTTATCCATGGACCTTCACGTTGGGTATTCACTAAAGTAGGCGTGACGAAGGCCGCCAGCCGCAGTCAAACGCTTTTGGGGATCCAGGCAAAGTAACCTTCGCAACAAATCCAATGCACATTCAGAGGCATCCGGGAAAAATTCACGGAGAGGAAGAGGACGCTTCGGCTCAAAGTGCACCTTTCCCCAATCGGGAAGCAGCACCGCCGATGGCCACGATGTGGGCGTCGGTGTCCCTAATACATCAAATATTCGTGACAACTGCCAAATATCTCCATCGCCCGCAAAAAGAGCACCACTGTACCCTCGTAGAAGTTCCGCAAATACGCATCCTGATGACCACACATCAATTTCGGGTCCGTAGTGTCGCTGGCCCAGAATTAACTCGGGAGCTCGGTACCACCTCGAAACGACTTCGTGAGTCATGGATGCCTCCGTATCCCATACACGACTGAGTCCAAAGTCGCCGAGGCGTAGTTCCCCCTCCGCAGTCAAGAAACAATTTGAAGGTTTCACATCTCGATGAAGAACACCTTCGCTGTGTATGTACGCCAACGCCAAAAGAAGCATTTTTAATAAAGACTTTGCCTCTAACGCGGGCAGAAGATTGCTGGCAGTTCTCCCTGAGAGGACTGCTGCCAAGTCAGTCTTGCAACGCTCCATCACTAACGCCAAGGAGCAGCCACACGGAACTACCTCATATGTCCGAATAACAAAAGGATGCACCAATCGCATTGCAACAAGTAGTCCCCTCGCTGTGGGATGCGGAATACCCTCATCGAGACGTGGAGTTGAGACGAATTTGATTGCGGCTGGCATTCCAGATTCCTTTACGGCTGCAGCACGAACGACGCCAAAGCGGCCCTCACCAATTGGGGGTCCAATAATAAAACGATCCATGTCAAGCGACCACCTCTCTCTCTTCTTTTTTCCTCTTCTTCACCCCTCTCCTCCATTCTACAACATCGTAAAAATATAAATGGAACACAAAAAATTGACTCAGGTGATGCCAAAATCCCTCCGCACCCAAAGGTCATGCTCAATGCCCCTCCCTAATGAGCACATGCATAGAAACTGAAAGAACTCCAATTTATCTCAAAAGAATCCATTTTTTGTTGTGGTGGTGGTAGTTATTGTTTTCTCCTCGTCGGAATCTAATTATTTCAAAACCTTTCTCGTATTTAAGACTTCTGACTCCCTATTCACAACAGGGGCAGTCGCACTAGAGTACATCTTTGCTCGAGCAAACAAACTCACTCTTTCAGTCCTGGGTTTCTCATGGCACACTTCCACCTCAACAGGGGGAAGGAGGAAGAAGTGAAGAAGACTGCTGCTCTTCCGTGGAATATTTCGGTGTGGCTGTGGCCACATCACCCTCATTTTTGGCTTGCAGTTGTGCCGCACGGTCCTCAATCAAAAAAGTGAGACTGATCCATAGTCGTGTTTTCAGTGGCAATAAGATCATCTACACAGACAAGAAATCCCTTAGCGCCTGTGCTCAATGCACACTCCCGAGAATCATCCGCACAACAACCGCCTGTATGCTCCCTCACCACCAATGATTGATTGAGAGAGTTCTTTTTCCGCAAGAGCTCATCACGTAGTTTATTAACGGTTGACGCGCCACCCCTCTTGGCTGCTACTCGTAAAGGAATGGAGTGAGTTACCCACCGAACTGTCGCATTGGGGATGCTGCTGTCCGTCTTTAGACACTGATTCGTCCGGTACGTTTTTATCTCTGTAAAAGACTCGCGTGAACGGCCCAAACCTCCCTCTTGCGTGCGCCGCCAAAATGCATCACACCGTTGCCTCTTGCTTCTCAGAGATATGAAGGCGGCGCATGTTCGGCTTCACGATCGCTGATGCTCTGCTCGCTTTCCCCCGAGTCATCCGGAGATAAAATCCGTCCACTTGTTGTTGCATTTTGTGAAAATGCGTTTGTTATACCTGCGGCACCCGCGCTCTCCTCGCCACCAAGAGGAACGCTGTCGCCAGATTCCTTCCTCGTCCTCTTAAACTCCTTCAGAAAAGCGGAAGCGTCCATTTTCTTCAAACGTAAAAGGAAGAAAAAGAAAAAGAAAAGAAAAAAGAAATGAACATCTGCTTAGATGAGGTCGTTGACGTCCTTTCCTCAGAAATGTGAGAGGAGGGAAACACAACAAAATGGGAGAAGACAATTTAATCACACATCGCTCTGCATCAACGCGCTCCAAAGAAAAATTATCCTGCACTCATGCACACGCAACAAAAGCCATCAGACAAATAAATCGACAATAGCCAAACTCGTCGTAAAGTAGCAAAGCTGCAGCCTTAATTTAGTGCCCCTTTTAGCCGCCGGACTCCCCTGCACCGCGTGAAGCGCAATGAAGGAGGCGGGTGGGACGACAGAAAGAAACTGCAGCCGCCACCTTCCCGCGCAGCACCATCAAAATTCGCCCCCACGACTCGCACATTCGTTCCAAAAAGTTTCTAAAAAAAAAAACTAAAAACGCTGCAAATCAATAAATATGAGATGTTTTGAACACTGCGGATTGCAAGGCCGAGCACTCACGTATTCCACAGGAGGGCGGACTGGCATTTCAATTAGAAGGACAGGAATTCATAAGTTTTTCCTCCTCATTTTGTTTCTCCGTGAGTGCGAAAACGCAGACGAGAGAAAACCCACAGTTTTTCAACGAAAGAAATTCTTTTAACACAAAAAAAAAAAAAAAAAAAAGAAAGACGGCAGCCAAATGAGGGTCATTTTTTTCTTGTCGATTTCGTCAGCGTCTATTTATATTTTTATTTATATTTTTTTTCCGCAAATTGTGCCAGAGACAAAAGAAAAAAAAAAGAACACCAACAAATAACACACGCGGAAATTACAAAAACACAAAAACACGTGAAAGTAAAAATAAAAAGGCAACAAATAACATATCATATCGTCCTTATTTTCACTGCAGAGTTCTCTACGGAAAAAAAAAACCCTCAATAGGATCATCATCGTGCGCATGTTGCAGCTCGGAAACAGAGAGAGTCGAAAGAACCAAGTGTTTACAATGAGATGCCACATCACTCGCATTAGCCTCATTCTCTATAACAATGGTTTCACTTGAGAACCTCAGTTTTTGCAGCAAAATCTCTCTCGCAGCCGTTCTAATCGACTTGAAAGATCCACTGTCCAACCTGAGGTGCACATCCACCAAACGCTTAGCGAGCATCAACATGGTTTCCCCATCACTCACCGTAACTAAAATCACCTGAGACCTCGTGGCTGATACATAAATAAGAACATGAATTACGTCAGAGCCCCTGAATACCGAAGGTTGTCTTGCGGTGCAGCAAGAAAGGGAAGGCTACCGGTGTGTTGCCCATCATCCATAGAGGAGTATACATCTGCAACAGCAGCAGAAACATCGTCGTCGTCATCATCCAAATCAGTATCGTCAGCATTCTCCTCGTCGGGAAATGTATCTGCGGTATTTCGATCTTCTTCTCTTCGTGGCGTCCAAGAGACAACAATTGTTGCCTGGGCAGATTCAGTAGTCAAACGATCGGACTCGCAATTACAAGCATTCACACTGTTCAACTCTTTATGGTGGCTCTGAACACTAGCACAGGACGGATTTGTAGCTTGCGGTGTTTTTCAAAAAAATTCAAAACATTTGCGGCACACCCGTCGTCGTTTATTTACATGAAGCTTTTGTAATTTAACAAAAAAGCTCGAGCATGACGCACAGAAAATACCGCCACAGTACCGACAATGATGACGCCTGCGCCCAAAATTAAATTTGACCTCACATATTTCGCACTTCTGTATTGAGCTATCAGACTTCCATTCGCCTACTACCGATAGCCTGATCGACATATGCCATAATTTATTTCTACTGCATTTATTAAGACATAAAAAAGAATATGTGCATACAAATACATATAATAATATCACACGTGAGGGACATCCGTAACAGTAATGATAAGGCCAACCATATAAAGGAAGCTAAGCCGCAGACACACACACACACTATATATATATAGGGAGAGAAAGAGACAGAAAGAAAAAACAAGGGGAAAACATTGTTGTTGCTTTTTGGTGTTGTTTCGTTCCATAAAAATTGCCTCTGCCATCATGTGCAGCACCTTCAATCACGGCCCCAGTGAGTCCTCACCATCACTCTTTTTTGACATGGAAGACAATGGCAACCGAGAAATATCCGCCTGAAACGGTGAAGAAGAGTCCCCGTCGTCACTTCCGCTCATGGAGTCTTCAGGCAGGCTGCCATTTGCGAAGGAGTTGTGGATCATATTTCTAAGAGTGTCGCGCGCAACTGGCCTGAGACGGTGAAGAAATTCATTCAACATGTTGTAGTGGCCAGGGGCTGAGCCGAGCGAAGAGTCGCGGATGGTCACGTCAAGTTCATACGGCGTGAGAGGTCGATCCATTTCCCAGCCACCAAGAACCAAAGGAGTGCAGCGAGCAGCAGCAGCAGTATAGGGTAAAGTGGCACGTGGAACCGCAAAAAATGACGGACAATCAGATTTGCCTGTTGCCGAGGCAGGGCGCATACGCGGCCAAGATCAGTGCGGAGCACAACCGATTCCAGAGGATGAGGGTGCGGCGCCGCCACGCCGCGAAGATATCGCCAGTTTGGGCTGGATGAAGCCCCAAGTTTTTCCACACGGACTTCCAGAAGCGTAGTGAAGCCACGGCGTAAGGCTTGATATTAGTCCTCCATATTTTTGGATTAATTCGGCTCGAAGCAGGCTGTCTCCTGGTGAGGCAATGTGTGTGCTTTGTGTGCTGCTTCTGCGGCGGACTCGGCTTGTTCCATTTCGTGTGTCCACATCGTTTTGGGGTGTCACGGCTGCCGCGCGGGATATGGCGCTCAGCTGCTCGTACGATGCCTCTGCAGATGTCCAACCATGTGGACGCGGTGGCAAGGAGTGTTTCACACAACGAGGTGAAAGCAGGCCAATCCGCCTTACGCAGGGCAAAGGTGGTTTTCTTCCGTCGAGGCAGCGTGTTTGCTAGTCGCGGAGTGCCATCATCCATCCCCGCTGAGTAAGATATTAAGCGGTGGTCCGAATCCATGTAGGGGGTGGATTGCCAGTGGGTGACACGTAGTACGCGATACGCAGTCACGTCAGGGGACGAGACATTACGATTTGTAATCCGCGTTGCCTGCACCGGGTCATTTGCCAGTTCAAAATTGAAATCAATTAAAATAGCGGCGAAGTTTTCTCCTCCAGTCGTTGATGGTATATATGATGGTCCCAGAGCTCATGATGTAAATTCAGGTCACCCGCGATAATCGCTGCGGGGTCCAAGCAACGGACGATATTGATAAATGCGGATTATTGAACAGTTTCCATGGGAAGTTTGTAGAGATTCGCCACGCAAATGCCGGGACAGCCCGGTGGAAATACACGGACAGCAATGGTCTCCAGGAGGTCAGTGCCAGGGAGCGACAGGCGCTCGCACGGCAGAGAGTGGCGCACCAGAATGGCAACACCACCACCGTGCCCAGTGCGGGACTGAAGAAAGTCATTATGGCCAGAAAATTTCGTCGCTAAGCCACCACGGTTACTTATTTCCTGGAAAATAACGATGTCAGGTGGACGCTGCTCCAATCGCGCAGCAAATGCAATATTTTTCACGGACGAGAGGTCCGCAATGTTGAGCTGCCAACTAGTGATGAAGCCATCCTCCTCGGGCCATGGTTCTTGTGGACGTCACCGCCACGGGTGATATCAATGAAGTGACCGCTGCGAAACGGTCGTGTAGTTCTGTCCGACAGTCTGCAGGCAGACCGCTTCAACTCCCCACACCGGGCATGGCGTGGAACCTTCTCGAGGGGTGAAGTCACCTTGGTCTCCGTCGTGCTCGCAGCAACGCCCTGCTGCAGAGATATTATACGCAACCAAAGCCTCAGCACCGCGAAATGGCACGGACCTCATCGCTGGAGTACACTGCAATGCCTATATCGCGTAATTGTCGTTAAGTTCTTACCCACAGTCACAAAAAAAAAAAGCAAATCATTTAGGGGCAAATAAAACCACAGCGGGGCGTCAAAAAACAAACAAACGAGATGAATGGTGAAACGCAACACTGCACGGCTGCCCACGCCGTGGCAAGCCGCGGGACATATGCTGGAAAGTAAAAAAAAAAACAAAGTTAAATCCGTCTTCCATTATGCATTCACTCAAAAACAAAAACAAAAACTGCACGCTGGTGCGTTTTTTTCGCCTGGGGATAAAAATAAATAAATAAATAAGATACACTCGTTATAGTCGTTTAAACCCCCGGTGCCCACACATTATTTATATTCCACTGGGACACTCGGCGTGTTTTCTTGCCCCATTCCATCGTCTCTTTTATTAGCCGGCGTCATCGGCGTGTGGCA